TTCTTCCGCGATATCTGATGTAACATCATTCAAGCATCACGTGTCTGCACGTCTACTTTTTCTCTTTATTCAAATAACGACACTTGAAATCAGCAGACAGATTGGTAGATGCAGATAAGAGGTATCGCAATTTATTTATTATCTTTATATTTATTATATTTATTATCTGTTGTTCAGAAAATTCCACTAAGAATTTACCTTAGTAGGACCTATCTAGGCCCAACGATGGCAGGCCTATTTTAGAGCATGCCTGTCTAGGCCCTACATCGCCTGGCCTATTTTAGGGCATGCCTGTCTAGGCCCTTTACGAACTTCGGGCATGCCCTGACAAAATGCTACCTGGGACATTTCCCGACCTTTGGATTTCTACGTTTCCATTAGATACATATCTCATCAATATACAGGGTGTCCTGAAATTCGCGAATCAAAATACCATAGCAAGAAAGTCGTCGAAAAATAAATTAAAAAGTTATTTGCCATTTTTCGTTCCGAGCAGTAGTTTTTTTAGATAAAAAGGTTCAAAACAGGCCAATCGTACCTCCTTATGACGAATTCAGACATAATATATTCGAATGATGGAGCCGAATTTCCATCATTCTATCGGACAATGTTTGAATATTGCGAAGGCATCTCGCAACTCGCGAACAATCTTAAGACCAAAAATTAACCTTTGCTCGACGTGAACAGAACAAGTTGTCTTGCAGTAAGTACAATTTTACGTTCTTTTTGTTGTTAACTCAATTCGAACAAGAAATACACGAATGTAATTTAATTATATGAATGTAATTAAGTTACGTGATGTAATTTAATTACTTTGAGCATCAATTACTTGGGCATCAATAAATGCTCAAAGTAATTAGTAATTGAATGGAACTTAAATACAAATGCTGAAAGTAATGGGTAATTAAATGGATTTCAATTACAAGTAGTAAAAGTAATTTGTAATTAAATGTGTAATTTGAAGACAAAAGTAATTACTGCCGCCCATCTCTGCTTGAAAGCGAAGTTATGAAAATACTCACCGATCGTAGTTTCGCAGAATTTCTCTTCGGCGACTTCATTGGCCAGATTAGCGCCCATCAGAACATTGCACTGTATCCTCAGGTTCTTTTCGATGATCTTGGAGATCAACTCGATACTGTTTCCTTCGCCTCGGCCAAAGCCCTGCAATTCGAACCCGTTTAATCTAATGAATTAGAATAGAAGACGAAGAGCTGTGTGAAGCTTACCTTAATGAGAGAAAGGCCGACTGCAGTTGGCTTTATGTTATCCAGCAGCGTTGAGCACAAGGTGCGAATAAACTGATGTGGCAAAACGAAGATGAGGATGTCGGCGTCCTTCGCTGCTTCCACGTCAGGTACGGCGACCTGGAAGAGTATCCAGAAAAGTTTACGGAAATTAAAACTTTTAGAAGTATAGCACATAACCAGAACAATACAAATGAATTTTTTCGGTTCACACTTCCATGTATCCCATCAATTTTCAATAAATTTAATAATGTCATCAAATCGTCGCGTCGCTGAGGATGGCTCAAAGCGAAGCCAATACAAATTATATTTAATAATATATAGAATGTCAATTCAGTATACTGAACAAAGTTGATGAACGCGTTGACTCTCGAAGTCCATTTTTTACTCGTAGAAATTAAAACACTTGCATTCTATAAAACCTTTTCATTTAAAAAATCAATAGATATCACAGAATCAATATCTGCTCATCCGAACATCCGATTATATCCCTGATAATATCAAAATAAATCATAAGTTTCGTTATGAAATTCAATGAAATACTGTGAAATTAGATGAAAGTTAATTAATATTACTAAAAATTAGTGAAAAAAATTTTGAAATGTTGTATATTATGAGATTTGCAGAATTTCACTGAAAATAAATTTTTTAATGATTGCTGAAATGATAATGAAATTGGGTCAATTGCAAGAGATTTTCAACCAAATTTCAGCAAATTTCATTATGTTTTCAGCAAAATTTTTCCATCAGGGATATCAGCGAGATCGGGTGTGGAGATACGATATCTGATGGGCGTTGCATTATCGTAACGTCTGCATCATATTATAGAAACGACCTGCCGCGCGTATATATATAAAGAGCGTGGACGAGCGTGAGGATAACGTAGCTCAGATCGGCTCCCGGTTCATCAGCGCTTGGCAGGCCTCCCGTCGAGACAGACGCGTGCTTCGAGTAATTCTTCCATCAAACGCTCAAGGACAAAGCGATAATGAGGCTTAACAGTATCATACCGAATTTTAAAGCCGAGACCACGCAGGGTCCCATCGACTTTTACGACTGGCAGGGCAATTCGTGAGTTATAATATATTATAATACATGTAAAGGAAACTCTTTCCACCCCATTTCTGTTCTGAAACCGTTCATAGAAGTTAAAAAATTTAAAAAAAAAACCGTCAGCCATTGGCTGACCCCCCTCCCTTCCCCCAAGAACGAGTATAAAAGGACGAGCGCAACGCGAGGGAGCTCAGTATCAGAGTCTCCCAGCCCTGATGAAGCAGACTGTAACGCCTGCGAAACGTCGGCACCACACTGCAAACGCACGCGGCAACCATCCGGAAGCCATGACGACTAAAGTTAAAAAAGAATTCACTCTTATGTCAATTCTGAGCTCTTTTTCGAATACGAGAGGAATTTTTTCTTTACAAGAATATGTGCCGGAAAGGAACTCGTCTGAAGTTCATTTTGAACAGATTATACTCGCTAAAGAATTTAAAAAATGAATCCTTTTTAAAAGTTCGTAACGATCCACTGTGCTATTTCGGGTATTCTCCTTTGATTATCTCGCGTATTCCCCTTCCATTTTTTAATTCTCGAAAACTCTTGAAGATATATATATGTATATCATGTTAAGCGAACGGAAAATAAAAGTCCTGCAAGACAATGATATAACCGGTTTCCATATCACTCGATTTGGAAGTTTTGTTTTAAATTTAATGTTCTATTTGTAACACAAACGTTTTCCTTCTTTATATACAGATTCTTAATTTCAATATCTTTTTTGATGTTTTATGATTTATGTATGCGTGATAATTATCATGTATGTAATTTAATCGTATTATAATTAATTTTTTAATCTGTCCGATCTGATTAACGTTCATTTATTCGTTGCAGATGGGTGGTCATATTCTCTCACCCTGCGGACTTCACCCCCGTGTGCACCACCGAACTGGGTCGCATCGCGTTGCAACAGCCAAACTTTAAAAAGCGCAACACCAAGTTGCTGGCATATTCCGTCGACAAGCTCAAGGACCATGTAGACTGGGTCAACGTAGGCATTTTTTAATCCTATATTCGTTCATCCTCCGAATTCTTATGCACTTTCATTTCTCTTTCTCCCAATTTTCGAATTAATTCTCGTTAGTCTTCGTTTGCAATCAATTGTCCGGTCCTAATTTCTAATTTCTTTCTATCGTTGCAGGACATCAAGTCGTACTGCCTGATGAACCCCGGCGCTTTCCCGTATCCCATAGTTGCCGATCCCGACCGCAAGCTCGCCGTGCAGCTGGACATGATCGACGAGGAGAGCAAGGACGATCCGGAAACCGTTCAGACCATTCGAGCGCTGTACATCATCAGTCCGGACCAACGCCTGCGACTCTCCATGCAATATCCGACCTCCACCGGACGCAACGTCGAGTGAGTTGACTGGACGCTACGCATCTGATACGTCCCAGACATTTTGCACGGTCATACCGAACATATGCTATTTAAATTTGTTACATTAATGAACGTTATTATCGTTTCAGCGAAATATTGCGTGCGATCGATTCGCTGCAGCTGGTCGACAGAAGGCCCGAAATAGCAACTCCCGCCAACTGGATGGTGAGTCTCATTTTTACCTTTTTCGTTGCGTGCCGTTTGCGATAGCACCCATCCGATTCAATTTCGGCGATAAGTGGCATCAACTTAATTCAATAACGACGGCGAAATGAGATCTCGTTCCCCGATTTAATTATGCGAATGATATTGCAGCCTGGTGAGGAAGTGATGATCCTGCCGACGGTGAAGGAAGAGGATATCCCGAAACTGTTCCCAGGAGGAGTCAATCGTGTATCCGTGCCGTCCGGAAAGGGGTACATCCGCACTGCCACTAATTACTAATTATAAAAACATTTTCGCTGTTTCCACTCGCTTCGTCTGAATAGCTTTCAGTACCTTTAAAGCGAGATTGGAAGATTGTAACACGGCAGACCGTATTCAAATAAAAATTGCACTCGATAACTACGACGAATTATTTAATTAAGCCTGTAAATATGCATATTCTAAAAGAATTGCCTTTGACGCCAAATATCGATTGCGAATAAAACGGATAATATATTCGAGATATGTTCGCGATTCTCTTTTGGGAGAGCTCGCTGGACCGCTGCGGTTGGAAGCAGGGCTGAGAGGACTTTGCGGTGAGAGGCTCAGGGAACGAATGCACGCGTGCGAGGGTAGAAATCACGTGATCGAACACTCTGGGCGATTTTGAGTAAAA